CAAAGCAGTATATAATATTTACAGATGCAGACTGACACACCATTCCCCACAGTGTAATCGGCACATCATTCCTCACACTGTAATTGGCACATCATTCTCCACACTGTAATCGGTGGTTTCAAACCTTGGACACATATTAGGAGCCAAGTGCTTTGCCAATGTTCTACCAAGACACCATGAAAACTATGAGCCATACAAAGGGATTTTGACTTTAATGCTCTATTAGTAAAAAGGGCTAATACCATGATAATATAATTTGTAAAAATATAACTTGAAAGTATAAAGAAACATTAATACTTTTTACTAATTGATCTTAGACAATCTTTAGTTTTAAAAGTGTGGCAGATCTATCTGTTATAAATCTATGTACTGGAAAATGTCTATTACTCTTATTTAATCTTCCCTATACAAAGAGAGGAACTGATTGATTTGATTGAAGTTCTATTATTTTGCTGTGTTCTTCTAAGTACAGACACTGTGCATAGAAATGATCAAATGTAAAGAATCAGTAATCTAGACATTGTCTTGAAAAGGAAAAAAATTAAAGAGCATTCATGAGAAAAAAAGTGTATGTTAGAGAAAAAATTTATTTTTTTTCTTCCTAAAAGGAAATATTTATCTGTCTTTGGTTATTGTGTCCTTCTTTCCATGTAAGCTTGGAGCTTGCACTTCTGCAGCTCTATGCGTATTTCATATGTCAGGCCAGACTTGCTCCTCAGTCCTGAAACTGAAAATTCTATTTCTTACTAATAGTCTTGATAATAGTCTCCTTCTTGATAGTCTTCAGAATTTTGAACTCAGATAGACTTCTGATTTTTGTAGAAGCTTCCTCTTTTCTGTGTTTGATGTAGAGAGCAGGCTGAGATTTGTGTTTAACATTTACTTCTTCGTCGTTCCAATCATCCTATATTTTCTAAAGAAAGTTCATCACTGAAAGAATCCTGAACCCACTCATCACATCTCTGCTTTTTCATTACTACGGGTTTTGGTGCCATTCTTATCTTTTCTTTGTCTAGTAATTGAAAAGCTTCTGAAGAATTTCTTAGTCCACTGAAGAGATTTCATATTGCCCTGAGAATTGCTGTTCTGACTTATGTATGTGGAACTATCACTACTACTACTGCTACTCTTTGCCAAGGAGTCTGAGCTTACTCATAATCCTCCAGTGGGATTTTGAGGATGTTAATGGCACAGGAGACAATTGTCCATCTTTTCCCCCACAGTCATGGATGGATTCAAACTGTGTTAAAAGGGTGACCTTTGGGTTAGCACTGCAACTTCTGAGGGCTACACCACCTACACCGTGTAAATATTTAATAAATTCTATTTTTCAAAAAGAATCAAGGACAACTCCTTACTATAACATCTCAAACTCAAGCTCATTGATTTCAAGTCAGTTCTGTCAGTTCTGCCTCATATCAACCCTCCATCACTGGAATCGTAACAAACCGTTGTAGATGAACAGCCTTTTTGGATTAGGAACACTGGCTACAGAATACACAGCATGAGCTACGTAAAAGGTATATTTGTTGTTGTTGTTAGATGTCATCAAGTAAACTACGACTCATAGTGACCTTATGAACAATGAACTTTGCCCTATCCCACCCCATCTTCATCATCTTTGCTATACTTGAGTTCATTATTATGGTCCTCTCTTTGCTGATCCTCTATCTTCCCAAACAAGATATCCTTCTCCAAGGACCACTCCTTCTTAACCACATGCACAGAGTATGTGACAAGAAGCTTTATCATCCTCACTTCCAAGAAACAGCCAGTTCTTTCCCTAATGCATACTTATTTGTTTTCTAGCAAGTTTATGGGATATCCAGTACTATTCTCCAACATCACAACTCAAAGATGCCAATACTTTCATCCTTAGTCATTGGCCAACTTTTTTGATGCATAGCAAATAATTGAAAAGGTACTGGCTTGAATCAGGTACAACTTAGTCTTTAGACTAATATAGTTACTCTTAAGCACTTTGGAGAGTTCCCTGACTGTAGATTTTCGCAATATAGCAGGTCTTTTGATTTCTCAACTGTTGTTATTATGAGTGTTGATTGTGGATCCAAGTAAGATGAAATAATTGACTTCAGTCTTTTCTTCACCTATTCTCTGAGAGATAAGGATTTTTTATCTTCTTGATATTGAGGTCTGATCCACATTGAAGGCTGTTGTCTTAGAGCTGCCAACCCAAAGGCACAAAGTATGAATCCACCAGCTTTTCTGTGAGAGAAATATGAGCAATCTCCTGCAATTTAATTTACAGCCTCTGAAAACTTGCTGGAGGGTCAAGTATGAGTTGGTACCAAAAGGATGGCATATAATGTAAAAAAGACATGCAAATCTTCCTAATTTAATCCTTTCCTTTCCACTCCTGCATCTGTCATCAACTTTTTAATCTATTTCTGTTCTAGTGATTTCAAAATCTTTACATGTTCTGTTGGCAATGGTTTTCTGAGATCCCCCACCCTAAGAAATTCCTCTTTATAATTTACTTATAATTTGAAAACCAGTTTTTCTTATTAATTTTCACTGAACACCTGTATTTAAAATTTTGAGTGTTTCATTTCTTATGCTACTATTGAGTCTTTGCAGCCAATCTGAAATATTTGGTTTTGGTATTATGACAATATTTGGTAAGTAAGTGTTGAAGACTTTGATATTATAAACTAAGGCAAATTTCCTACTTCATTGTCACTTCTTTTTTTGTATTTTAGCTTTCAGTAAACATAGTTACATTAACTAATGATGCAGAAGAACAAAGACATTACTAATTAGTGCAATATAATGTCATAAAATAACGGTCATTTTTAATTAGAAAAGAGCTTTTCGTCTTTTATTCTCTTCTTGCCTTAGCACTTGATTATAAACAGTAATTTCACCTATTCACTTTTAAAGTTGAATAAATAAATGAGAATTTTGGAGAGAATGGTGGCAGTACAGTTAGGAAAATAAATAAAAAATGAGATAAGGAGAAAGAATGAAAAGATAGGAAATTTGGAATAGTCTATAAAAGAAGATACATTAAAGTTTCAAAGTGGAGTGTACTTGGGATGGGGGGTTGCTGGGGGATTGTATACCAATGAAAGAATTTTACTTTCCAAAGAGAGGAGTGAACTGGAGGGGAGGGAGTAAAGTGCGACAATGAATGAATGGAAATCTAAAATCTCTGTAAATGTTCATTAAAATTAATAAAATAAATTTTTAAAAAAGAATATACAAATACTAGATTTTGTTAAGATATGTTCCTAAATTATTACTAATCCTATTCTCCAGTGTATCTTCTACTGTAACTGTTTTAATTTCTATCAGTAAATATCCATTAAGCATTCACAGAATGCATATCACACACTTTATGTCAACTTTAATAAAGTTATATATTCACAGAGAGATATTTGTAATGTTAACAAATGTTAAATAGTCTCTGAAAATGTAGATATTCTATCTGCAACTTAATTTGTTTTTTCCTGAAATAGAAATTTAAGTAGCAATATTTAAGTCATGCCCATCCACTTACCCCTTCCCTAAATTCAACCTATTCATAATGTCTGTTTAGCAAGATATTCTTGACATTTCCAAATATAACATTGGCAGTTTGGATAGCTTTTATCCATTCCTTATTGATTGACAAGGTTCTATTAAAAAAATTAAATAAATGTCAGTGTTATTAAAAAAATCAGGATGGCAACATTCAGTCACTAAGTGGGGGGTGACTCAATTATTACATAACTGTGAAATTGTCATTATATTATTGTCAGTTTATATCATTACATAAGAACTCTGGCAGCATAGTCGATAGGGATTTGCATTGCTTAATCCAAAGGTAAAGGCTTTCTAGTGTGTCAAATCCAATAGCAACTCTGTTGGAAAAGGTGGGCAATCTCCTCCACTGTGATTTACAGTATCTGAAAAACTGTTAGAGGGTCAGCTATCAGTTGGTTCCCACTTAATGGAAATGAGTGAATGATCATTATCTAACTGCCAACTTACATCATGACATAACTGCTAAGTTATATCAATGCACAACTGTCACATCATCGAGAATCACGGCCTAATCAAGCTTACACATAACCTTAACCATCACAGCCAGTGTTAGTACTGCCTTAAACTTTGATGGTTATTCTTGTCAGATATATGCTGTTAGACGCATGTTATCAATGGGAAAAATAGTTGGATAGTGCATTTTTACTATTTTTATAAATGTAAGATGTCAGAAAATTAAAATAATATGTGAGGACTAGATGTATTTGTAGTCTTGAAAACTCTACTAGTGGTTTTAAATGTGAATTTTTTAAAAAAAATAAAAGATTGGCATGTGAAAGAGACCCATTTAACTAGAAAATCATCCTGTTTCAACACTACTTTGTTTTTGAATTGTCTGATATAAATTCATGAATCTCAAAAAGCAATGCAAATGTTGCAAAACAAAGAAAGTTAGCAGTGTTGATAAGATGAGTAAGAAGGCAATGTATAATAAATAAAATATTAAAAGCTAGGGTTCCTATAAAAGTAGTTTAAAAGTGATGTTAATTTAAATTACATAATTAAATACTATTAATAATTTAATTTTTTTCATTGTTTAATTCATTTTAGATCAGAAAGTTTATTCTACAAAGAGATTTGGAATGTAAATATGTAGAGATGTACACTTCTCAAGTGTCAAGACTCTAATTAATAGAATTCTTAAAATACATTTAAAGATTGGAAATGAAATTTCTCTCTCTCATTGCTTTTGAGTCAGTTCTGATTCATAGATGACCCTCCATTGTATTTTTAAGCCTCCAAAAAGCAGAGACTACTAGTCTTCCCAAGAAGTGGATAGTGGATTTGAACGAGTTAGCAGTGTGATTCTCTTTACAGTATGTCCCTACAGCTGAAATGAAATAGTAGTGAAAATTTCTAAGCATGAATTTCATGTACTTCAATATTAATATAATATTTTTGTTTAAAGATATAAAAACTACTTTTAATGTAAAATATCTTGGGTTTTTGGCATCTTAACTTCTTTGTGTGTATGTGTCTGGTTTAGTACAAATCCATTTTCTAACCAAATGACTACTGGCACTGCTAATTCCAGTTTTGTGTAGATAGGCACATTCTCCAAATCCAATTATATTAAACCTGAGAAACAAACACAGGGGGGAGGGATCAAAGAATGAATGGACACTGAAATGATTAAAGAAAACATTTCTGTTACTGTAAACTTTTACTCTAACCCAACATCATAATATTAAACTATAAACTGTATTCATGTACCTTAGTTAACCTATAACTAGTTTCATAAACTCCAAAACCTTTAACCAATATGGCAGAGAAATGCAAGATTTATTAGCAAACGAATCTAGTTTATAAGGGTCTCTGGACCTCAACTCTATCAATTATAAAATGATAAGATATGTACTCTTTCATAGGTTTGTTGTTGAGATCAAATGTTAGAATGACTGTGAAGCATCAGTTTTTATTTAAGTATGGACTAATATGCATTACTGTCTTTTTTTCTCAGGGCTCATTTTAGTCTCCATCACAAAGAAAGCTTCCAGGGGAATGATTTAGTGTGTAACTCACCATGGTGGGAAGGGGCTTTGAATCCAGCTCTAGGTATGGAAGTTATCTACCCAGGACTTACCAATCACTGAATGTGGTTCCATCTACCCATTTCCAAGCTTCTCCTTGTTTTCTGCTCAGTCCAATCCAATATTGAAAATTATCTGAATATCGCTTCAGGAATTCCTTTAAATAAGGTATATATATATAGAGAGAGAGAGATTAAAAACCAAATACTTCATACTGTAGGAATTTTTTCTTCCATATTATTCAGTTCTCTCCACATAAATATAGATATTCCTATTTGAAAATGCTCTTAGAGGGCACATTGTTCTTTTCTTGTTCACATGTTGTAATTCTATCATAACGTTAGTAGTACATTTTATTGAGTATATTGTCTTTGTTCCCATTTTGCAAATTTGTTGTTACATGCTGTTGAGTTCCTTGTGACTCATAGCGACCCTACGTACAACAGCTCTATACCCTGCTCTATCATGTGCCAATCTTATTGTCTCCAACACACACCTATCCCCATTTTCCCAGTCACGAAATCAATCCATCTCATCAAGGGTTTTTCTCTCTTGTCCTATTCCTCCACCCTCTCTAGCATAACATTCCTCTTCAAGGACTGGTCACTCCTTGCAACATGTCCAAAATATGTGAGAGGAAGCTTCAGAATCTTTGCTCCCAAAGAGCACCCTGATTTCACCCTCTCTATGATAAATCAGTTTGTTTGATATATTCAATACTCTGTTCTAGCACAACAGGTCAAAGGCATCATTTCTCCTTCGATCATCTTTAGTCATTGTCCAGCTTTCCGATGCATGACAAGTAATCACAAAGAACATGCGTAAATCAGGTGCACTTTAGTCTCCAGTCTACATTGTTGCTCTTCAGTACTGTAGAGTGGTCTCTGAGACTTCCCCATTTTACAATAGAGTTTTTATAAGTTACATATTTTTGTAACTGCTTAGTCAAATGCCAGTTTATCTCTTTAGATAGATACATTTTTAGGAAGTGTAATTTTTTGGTTAGTAATAAAAGGCATTAATTGGCTCAAACATAGCAACAATGTGAAGATGCTGCAGGATTGGACAATATTTCATTCGATGTATACAAGGGCCCTTGTGACTTAGAACCAACTTAGTGGCACATAACAGTAAAATGTACTGAAATGTTAGTTCTGTTAGGTTTGTGCTCATAATGCATTTTGATATGTTATAATTTAGAATTTACCAAATTCTTACAAGTTTTTAATTTACTGGAATAAAATTCTGTCAGTTTTAAAAAATACATTTCTAGGTTATTTGCATACATTCAAATTAACATTATCATTAGTAGCCATTGAGTAGATTTAAAATCATTGTAATATTGTGTGTTACAGACCAGAGCTGGAATTCATGAGGCTTTCATAACTATGACTGTTTGGGAGCAAATTACCTGGCCTGCCTTCTAAGACATTTCTGGGTTTAACTGCCAACTCTCTGACTCTTAGTGGAGCACTTAAATATTTATGCTACCCAGGGACATTCAGGTTAATGATATATTTTTGTGTGTGGAATTTTCATGTTTATCACTGTGAATGTTTTTTGCCTAAAGTTAATTTTTTTCTGTTAATATCACTAAATTTGAATCCTGCTCTCACACCTACATTGAGGAAAGTAGAAGGCAATACTATTGTTTGCCCTGCATATATTTTATTTCACTTTTATTTGTTTCTGTCTGTGTTTGTGTGTGCATGGATGGAGCATGTATGTATGTAAAAATGTATTTATTTAAGACATGTATGTATCCATGTTTAGGTATAATTATAAAAGCTAGACTTTGTTATCCAAAATTCTTGAATTCTCGATCTGACAATTTCTTCCAAGTTGTATAGCACTCTTCTGTCAATTTGCTGTACTGTGGTAATCTGGGTTTGCTATGAACAGCTGAACTTTGTGCCATTGGGGGTCAAATGCTATAACAGCTGCCCGTGGTGGACAGTGTTTGGTCGAGCTCCCAGTTTAAGACAATTTTGAAGCAGGAGTGTCATCCACTTCCTAACCTTCATGCCTCTGGAAACTCTATGAACATGGAGAAACAACTATAGTTATAGAAAGATTTCAGTCCTTTGGTTCATAGGGTCACTATGAGTCATGCTCTACTCAACAACAACAACAATCAGATAAAAGATGTATTAAATACGAATTGATTTTGTTAATTGTGATTATTATTATATTTGTTTTTTCTTTTTCTTGTTTTCTGATTCTTACCTTTTTCTTTCATATTTTTATCTCTATTTTTTTCTATTTCTCCTGTATACCTTTATTTGATTTGTGTGTTATAGTCAGACTTTTTACTGTGTCTCTCTTACATATTGTTGATGTTGTTGTTATGTGCTATCGAGTTGCTTGCGACTCATAGCCACCCTATGTACAGCATCCCTAAACTCTGCTCTGTCCTGTGCCAATCTCACTGTCTCCGACGCACCCATCCTGATTACCCCAGTTACCGAATCAATCCGCCTCCTAGAGGGCCTTCCCCTCCTACACCTGCCCTCCACCCTCCAAAGCATGATGTCCTTCACCAAGGACCTGTCTCTCCTTGCAACATAACCAAAGTATGTCAGACTAAGCCTCAGAATCCTTCCCTCCAATGAGCAGCCTGGTTTAACCCTCTCAAGGATGAATCTGTTTGTTCTCCTAGCAGTCCATGGTACATTCAATACTCTTCTCCAGCACCACAGCTCAAAGGCGTCAATTCTCCTTCTATCCTCCCTAGTCATTGCCCAACTCTCTGATGCGTAACAAGTGATTGCAAAAACCATGGCCTGTATCAGGTGCACCTTAGTCTCCAGAGAGACACCGTTGCTCTTGAG